ATTTGAGAAGCAATATCCTAGTAGGGGCCAGAATGCCTGGGTCTGATTTCCCAGTTCTGCTCATTATGAGCTGTATGACCTTGAGCACACTACCTAAAACTTCCATGTCTCAGTCTCTGCATCTGTAAAATGAAGGTAATAATAGCACCTACTGGGACACCTGAGTGGCTCAGTCGGTTCAGTGTCTGGCTCTTGATGTCAGCTCAGGACATGATCTCAGGGTCATGTAATTGAGCACCACATCGAGCTCTGCATGGACAGAGAGGAGCTTGCTTGGGATTCTCTCTCCCTCCCTCTCTCTCTCTCTCTCTCCCCTTTTCTCTCTCTCCCTACATGCCCTTCCCCACAATCTCTCTCTCTCTCTCTCTCTCTCTCTCTCTCTCTCAAAATAAAGGTCCTTAAAAAAGTTATCTCAAAATAAATAAATAGTATCTACCCCACTGGGATGTTGGGAAGATTAAATTAGGAAATAAGAGATGAACAACTTAGAAGGGTACGTGGCACATAGCTCTAAGCGTCTGCATTTAGCATGATTACTGTAGCTGTATTTTGCATTCCAATACAATGTGATAGTTTAGGCTGGTGGCCTGCCAAAACAAGTGTTCCCCTATACAAATTATACTGAAGTTATTCTTCATTCCACCACAAGTGGCAGCAAATGGGGAGCATGAGGCCCAGAATCTCTCCTCAGTACTTCACACAACTTTCGCCAATGCCACTAGCCAACAGTACTTTTTCCATTTATAATCCTTTTAACTTACTTCCTCTCTATACCACTCAGTGGACAATGCTCACAGACCAAGGTACAAAGAGCACCTCCTTGACTGAGTAGTAGATCCTTTACATGACCATCAGAGGCAAGGGAAAGCCACTGACATGGAAATAATCGAGTCTTGCTAAACTAAAGTTCCTCAATCATTTCACGTCCATACTGTTTACGTTAGGCTGCTTTAACATGTACTCTGATGAAGAGATTAAGGCTTTGTGGTAAAAGCATATCAGAAAAGCTGTCCCCAGATCTTTGCAGTTGGTAAAGTGTTATAAATCTGTAAATCCCAGTTCTGGCTGTGTAAAGAAGAAAGACAAATTTAGAGAGCTTTTTCATAGTGAGAGGTAAAAAAAACCAAACATTTGATTGAACATTTCTCCTCTATTTGATTAAGTGCTTTCATTAATAGTTTTATTTATATAAGTGTGTGTGTGTATAGATATACACACATTTTTTTAACATTTATTTTTTGATAGAGAGCATGAGTCTGAGTGACGCAGAACGTGAGGGACACAACGGATCCAACACAGGCTCTGCTGACAGCAGAGAGTCCGATGCAGGGCTCAGTCTCAAGAACGTGGAGATCATGACCTGAACCAAAGGCAGACTCTGATAAGACTGGAGACAGCCAGGCACCCCTCAATTTTGTATTTCATTTCTTAGCATACATTTAGAATAAAAGCTTTGTTATACCAATGTTTCCAAGAAGAATTTATTGATACGGCATAAAGCACTTAATTTTATCGGAAAAACTGTTAAGTTAAAATATTTTCAATTTATACAAGGATAAGTACCACACGTATCAAATATTATTATCGCTTAAATTTATACTTAGGAAGGCGAAATTACCTGTCATTAAAAAAATAAAAACAACGTCAAATAAAGAACTATATTGTTCTGCGCAGGCTAGATGACAAGTGTCAAGAGAGTTAAGGCTAATGGGAGTTACAACAGTCAGAGGAAGTTCATAGGAAAGGAGACTGTGAGACAAGTCTGAATAACATAGGTTTAGGCAAGAGGAACAGAAACTAAAAAGACAGCATGAGTAACGGCGAAGAGATGGTAAAATCAACCCAATTAACTCGGAGGATAAAATCTGATGGCAGAGACATTAAAAACAGGTGTCCACACAAGAACTACATGAATGTTCATAAGCAGCAGTACTAACAGGCAAAAAGTGGACACAACCCAAAGGTCCATCAACTGATGAATGAACAAGGGCCTTAGCCGACAATGGAGTACTGTTTGACAATAAAAAGAAATGAAGCACTGATATAAGCTGTAACCAACACAGATGAACCCGGAAAACATTAAGTGAAGCTAGCTAGTCCCAAGGGACCACACGTTGTGTGACTCCATTTATATGAAATATTCGCAAGAGGCAACTCCAGTGAGAGACCAAGTAGTAGACTGGTGGTTGCCTGAGGCTGGGGGCAACGGGTACGGGTTTCCTTTCAGGGTCAGGAAAGCATTCTACTTGATGGCAGCGATGGTTGCACGAGCGTACACAGAGACAGTGAACTGTCAAATGGGTGTCAAATGGGTGACTTTTATGGGATGTGTATTGTACCTCAAAAAGGCTTAAAAAAAAAAAAACCCAATGGCAGGACACAGATAATGTTCTCAATTCTCGCTTTTGGGCGTACATACTATACATGATCTGAATATTTCAGATCATGTGCTTTGACAACATGTCTAAAAGGCAGAGAAAATGAAGGAAATGCCTAAGTTCAAGTGGTTTGTTAAGTGATCTTTCTGTACAAGTCATCCTGAAATCAAGACAGATTCTTCCCGAAAGTGAAGATGAGAACTAAGACAATTATCTGAAACATTCCATTAAACATTATCTGCTGATTGTATCCAGCTTGCCTCATCGTGGTAATAGAGATATCATTAAAAAACATTGTTTAGCAGGGGACAAAAGTCTCTTGGGGCACCTGGGTGGCTACGTCAGTTAAGCGTCCAATTCTTGCTTTCAGCTCAGGTCATGATCTCACGGTTCATGAGACTGAGCCCACGTTGGCTCTACACTGACAGCATGGAGGCTGCTTGCGATTCTCCCTCTCTCCTCTCTCTGCCCCTCCCCTGTTAACATGCACGCACACACTCTCTCTTGCTCTTTCTCTCTCAAAATAAATAAATCAACTGTAAAATAAGTTTTACATTAAGAAAGAAAAAAGTTTCTCAATTTCTGTGAGGAAGGAGACAAAAGCCTCAACTTTCCTAACTATTACAAGAAAAAAACGTATAACGCAAACAGTAGAATGAAAGTCAGAGTTTACGAAATAAATGTATTGTAAAGATACTAAAATCATAATCAATTAATTATAATGAAAATACAAAAGAAAGCAGTCCATGGAAGTTCGTATCCTAAAACACCTTATATTATTTAACCAGCTGTAAGTTAACTGTTGACAGGTTACATTTACTACATACTTGACTTCTGATTCGACCTAATTTCTTCTTGAGATCCCGTGTCTCATCTTCCAGACGAAGATGTGATATAACCTCCGGGGAAGCGTGTGACATAGACTGTTTCTTCAGAGTATCAGCCAGTTTTTGTTGAAGTTCTCTCACAACTACCTAATAAGACATTTCTGTTACTGATTTTCTAAATCATCTTATTATTTAATTATGTTAATAATAGACAACTCTAACATGCGTACTTTGAGAAATATCACCACATACATCAATTCACCTTCTTTTATTTTTTTTAATTTTTTTTATCGTTTATTTATTCTTGAGACAGAGAGAGACAGTGCATGAACAGGGGAGGGGCAGAGAGAGAGGGAGACACCGAATCTGAAACAGGCTCCAGGCTCTGAGCCGTCAGCACAGAGCCCGACGCGGGGCTCAAAATCACGGACCGTGAAATCATGGCCTGAGCCGAAGTCGGACGCCTAGCAACCAAGCCACCCAGGCGC